TTATTGACCATCCTCTGAAAGACCGCAGGGGCATTGGCAAGGCCGAAGGGCATTCTTTTGAATTCAAAATGGCCATCCGGCGTTACGAAACCCGTTAGATGGAGACTTTCCTCAGCCATCGGAATCTGATAGTAACCCGAGGCTAAGTCAAGTGTGGTAAAAAAACTATTCCCACTTAGGTTTGATATTTGATCGTCTATGATCGGCAAAGGGAATCGATCCTTGACAGTTTTATTATTTAAGGCCCTGAAATCCACGCAGAGTCTCTGCTCACCGGTCTTTTTCCTAACCATCAAAATGGGGCTGGCATAATCTGATGTTGTTTCCTGAATGATATCATTTTCTAGTAAATCTTTGATAGTCTCCCTAACCTTCTCACGTTCTGAATAAGACAATCGGTACGGCCGATAAACTATTGGTTTATTGTCTATCAAATCAATCTTCATTTCTACATCGGTGGCACAACCAATCTCACTCAAAGAAGTTGCAAAGCAGTCGCGATAATTTTGCAAAAGCAAATAAAGTCTATCAGTCTGTTCAGTTTTCAGTCCTGAACCTATTTTGATGTCAGATTTGTCAAGTGGCGTCAATCCGGACATGTCAGTAACGATGCGATTTACCTGAGTAACTTTCTGTTCAACAAATGGGGTTGACCTGGCAATTAAAGCATTTTTTTTAAATTTAACAGGTTTTTCCGACAAGTTAGACACGACTAATTGGCCCTTCCCCTGCTCAATATGGAACGCACCCTGCATTAAACGATACTCTCTCCCAGCATCAAAGGAAGTATATCCTTTAATGTAAATATCTCCAGTGTAATCAACGCTCGCGTGAACGGGCACAGTGGCAACTTTGGAAATATCAATGCTGTCGCTGACATACAATTTAAGGCAATCCCCCTCATCACTGTAAATATCGCATGGGCTCCTATAGAACATCAGTTTCTGATTGTCCTTAAGGACCGTAATGAAGGACAGTTCGGTAAAGTTCTGACCAATAATTAGAGCTGACTGCATGAACTCATCGTCTACCACCAGTACCTCGATTGACGATTCGACCTCATCTACCTTTAGAGTAACGCTGGATCTATACCGTGGTATAACAGTTGACAGACCAAAACCTTTCACTACCGGGACATTGTCAGTTACCTTCACTAACTCTAACATCTGTGCGACGGTACTGCGTAGTAACGTGCACTCACTGCCAAAATCAACATACCCTACCAAACTACGCCCGTTGATAAAGACATTTTTATAAAATTTGTCATTGCTGTTAGATTGGCTGACGTTAATTTTTAGGGTCGTCTTCTCACTACTATTGTCCGCCGAGACGTGTTCGAATTTGAGCTAACCGGCTTCAGGGGTTCTAACTTACAACTGTCGTTATCATGTCCTATCCTATTACAGCGTTTACATTTGATGATGGACTTCGTGTATTTGTGGAAAGGGTGGCCCCTAGACCTACAATTATAGCATATGATAGAACTAGACTTTGAGCTACCTGTAGAGTTACTAGTACTCGGCGCACTTTCTCTGTTCATAGGACGGTCCCTTTTGCCTGACAATGGAGTCAGTGACGTTAGTTGGGGAGTCTGTGATGCCAAGTAAAATAATAAATCTTCAGGCTCGGAGCACTGGAGAGCCTGAGCACCATTCCTAATCGATTTGTCAGTGATGCCATGTATGACGCAATCTGCCGCCTTTTTGCCTGTGATCTCGCAACGGGTGAGCAGCCCCAGCTTTCGATAGAAATATTCACACAAACTAACATCACTACGTGATTTACAGTCTAACATTTCCTCTAAAAGACAGCCGTAATTTTGTTCACTCGGGAAAGCCTTCCTAAGCTTTGCCTGCCACTCAGGCCAACTATACACAACAGTGGGCAAGACGTCATACCATCGCTTTGCTAGGCCAGTAAGTTTTTGGAGAGAAAAATGAATAGTTTGTTTCTCATCCCAATTATATATGGAAGCGCATTCATTAACTTTACGCAGCCAGCAATCGACGCTATGAGACTTTTCCGATGGATTGAATTCCGGAATTACATTATTCATCATATTATTACTTAAATTGCTACTCTTACTATTTTCCTCCTTCCAGCTATCCAAAAGGTGTAATATATCCTTTCTCGACATCCTCCTGGAAGTTTTGCGTTGCTTGCGTCGACTACGATCTTCTGACGAAGTCGAAGAAACCGAAGATGAAGAGGGGCTCCGCCGCCGCGCTTTCCTCTTGGATCGCTTGCGCTTAGGAGGCGTATTCGGCGGCGTGTCACTCCTTCCATCGTTCCTCATGGCTCGTTACAACCACGGCTGAAAAAGTAGTAATTCCTTCGAAGTACTATATCCAAAAACATACATAAAAACTTTAGGCTAAAGTCAACCCATTGTTATATGCATCAAAACAAAGTGAAAATAATGATATGAACGAGCACGCACGCAATCCTCACTATGATATATCGACAAATGGGAAGATCTTTGTTAAAACGACTGTTTCGATAAGCTATACTATAACCGATAAACGTACATAGTTTTTCCTATTTTGTATGATCAATTTATCCAGTACGCACGTGTATGCAGATATCCATATACCTGCGGGCCTATTTACACACAGGTAGATACGCATGTGCGCACCGATACACACGCGTATATATATAAGTATGTTTATATACATACACACACCACACGTACGTACACGTGTGCGCACACCATATTATCCATACTGCTACATACACGTACATACCCAAACTTGATTGGCGGGTATCCAAAGGTGGACATGCGGTTCGCACAGCAACCAATAGGGCACATACCTATTCAATAATCCAACGAACACGCTTGTCCCGCTTAACTAGAAGAACATGTAGGTAATATAATATAAATAATAAAATATATTTTTATTCAAATAAGGTCATACGTTGCATAATAATACTAATAATAATATTAAGTACAAAATAATAGATGCCTGAACTCTGTTACAGTTAAAATTGTACCTGTATTTCAGGCTTTTATGATCTAAAATAATACATTGAATGGTTAATAAATTAACAAAATAATTAAAACAGAACTTAAAGTAATCACTGTATAAATGTTGGTAAATGTAAATTATGGAGGTAGTAGTGGGTAGAAAAAATTGAATCCATACTACCAAAGTGTACATAATATACTTAACCAAAACGAGAACAAAAGCGCCACCAAACCAGAAACCAGTTAGTCATTAACATAAAACATTTATCAATACATACATAATATAGTCCACTGATTTCAACTCAACTAAATACAAGTCTAGCGGATATTGTTATTTATGGGTTAATGCACGAAACTTTATTTATTTATTGACGTTTCGTAGCCTTTACAGGCTACGTCGTCAGAATCAAATTTTATCTAATTTTGTCGAGCTACCTTCGAAAGACTTTTATTGACTAAGAAACAAATAGGATATTGTTATGTTGAATTAAAAATTGAGACCTACGTACTTAATATACTTATGTAATACAGGTCTCATTATTAATAGATAAGCACTTGCTAAACTGTAATGTTTAATTCCATGTAAATAACTACGTTAATTTAAATTATGTTTGTCTGCATTCAAACTGTTCAAACGGTTTTGCAGGAATATTTGTTATATAGGAATACCTTTCTATGATTAATAAATTAATTAAAAAAATAATGATGAGCAGCTAATTATCCAACAATATTTTTTTAAATACCAGATTGTTAAATCCGACGAAATAATTCCGTCAATCACAACCGCGGGTCACTAATGTATGTATTTAACATACACATTACTCGGCGCAAGTGCTATCAGAGAGTAGCTCTGACCAAACACTGCACCGAATCAATGTGCATATTCGTTCTAGTTTATCCATCCATAAATCCATCCCTACATTTAGTAACATTTAACAGGTTAACGTGGGCGTTAAGAATCGAGTAATACATACCTTAAATCAAATCTTCCTTCGATGTTTTAGTAACGCGTGGTTCTTTCCCGCTTGCTGAAGTGAAATAAAACTGCAATCCTTCAGTTTAATAATGCAGATTTACTTGATTAACTGCCGAGACGGTCACAATTACTTTTAAATACTTCAACGTCCACTATACGAATGAATCCCTTCTACCGTTTACATTGACTTTTATAGCCACCCTCTTTTCAAAATGGAGGGGTAACAGTTAGCACGGCACCAGTGTTGCCAGGAATTAATCAAAATACAACCAAATTAATAAATATTGAACAAAAATCATGACAATAGGTCTGTTGTGATTCTGTTTAACATAATACATGTAAGTATATGGATATAATAAATTAACATACTAGATGTACGGTACGTTTCTTTTTTTAATTCAAATTAAATTCACAAATCATTTATTCATTTTAGGCTTTTACAAGCACTTGTGAATGTCGAAAAGCTACGCCATCGTTTCGCAAATCTCCGGCGGGAAAACTTGTACTGAGAAGAACCGGCAAGAATCCAGCAAGGGCTGCTTTTCTCTCCCAGTTTTATTTTATTTCATTCCAACCTTAACTCATGCGCCTATCTACACCTACAGCTCTTTGTTTCCGCTTCAGCTGGCACGGCAATTAAGAAGAAGTAAGAAAAAAATATCCGAGCGTATTTTTCTTTAAGTTCGAAAAAACGCGTCTGTAATTACATCCACATCTACATATTAACTATATAATATGTTACTAAATTGAAGTAAATTGTCATCTTTTAACCATGTGGCTAAGCAATAAAGAATTTAAATTTGAATTTACATCTTTTTGCGAGTACGCTAAAGTGTTATGGAACCAAGATAAAAGTGGTAAGGGTAGAGCAATAGACGGAACATGACAGGATCACAGCACTACAGAATAGAAAAATGTTATCTAGTTATAATTTCCTCATTGTCGTCATTTCATACCAGGGAAAGAGATTATCTTTATGGCTCGTAGACAATTGCCTTAGCTTTGAAGGGGATCGTGGATCGCAGCAATTATTAACCTTGTCGATATTAACCGCACCGCATGACTGGTCGCATGCTTTATCGGCTTGCTGGATCAGCATGGGATGTAGTTAGTACTTATATAATCACCTGCTGCATAGTCAATTGATCATTCACAAAGACGATTTTAGCCATGCAGCTAGCGACATTGATTGCCTTCCGTGAAAATGTGCCATAAAACCTTAGATTAAAACAAAAAGGGTAGATACGGTACGCTCATACTTGCATCAAACAGAAACTGATCCCACGGCAGCGCGAACGGGACGGCGAGATCCGCGTCACTGCATTACCGACCCGAACGAAACAGCACGTTCAGTTTCAACGGCAGCGCGAACGAGACGGCGAGATCCGCGTCACTGCACTACTGACCAATCACGCGACCAGTTCTCGACGTCACTACCGAATAACATTCAAAACAACAAACAAACAGCAATTTTTATGAAAAAATATATTTTATAGTACTTACGAATAAAAAGTGATGCTGTGAGTGTTATTTTTAGTTCTTGAGCAATTTGAGAACTTTTTAAAAACACACTTAAGCATTGTTTTATCATAAAAAACACAAAAAATTTGCAATATTTCTTTTTGGCGTTCACATGTATGTCGTTTGCATGTCAAGTTGTGACTAAAGCGATTAGGGTCGTGGACCACAATTCATGCGGATCACTTTTGTGAGGCTAGTGCCGTATCTACCCTTTTTGTTTTAATCTAAGCATAAAACCGAGTTTCAGACCATTTCGAGTGGAGAAACCACTATGTTCCCTTTCTAAATCATATAGGTAGGTACGTATGTTTAATCTATGTTATGACTTATGACTAAGTTTCTTCAGATACACCATAGAGATACCACGTACCTATGTAATGTAAGGCATGTTATACTTTAAAACTTCTACAGCAAAAACGAACATTTGTATGCTTTAAGGGTTGGTATATAAAGCGTCAGAATATGCTTGCATTTTATTCTATTAACGCTTTTAAGGGGTCGGTTTTTAATGTTTCTAAGTAGTTACATTAGCCTTATGTAAGCAGGTAAACTTATTTTATAAGATACAGCGGCTCGTTCCGGCTTCACATGGGTGTATTAAATATTATGGAAACATAATGAATCAGCATAATACAAAATTAACAACAAATAAACAAAAGGAGACAATGGAAGAGCTTTTCACTGTACAACGAAAAAAACAAATTTACAAAAGCGACAAAAACTAATTTGAAGGACTTCAATAACCAAAATATTGCATAAAAATACGAAAATTCAATGAAAATACAGTTCTACACGCATCGCTTAGGTAACCTCGGTTTCCATTCTACGGCATTCGATAAGCGATTTTCAAAATTTTCAAATACTTCGTTACTTTCTATTGCGTCTGGCCAGGGCGCTTGTTCTTATTTTTTATAAATATTGTTTTGGTTCCTTAATGAGAAGGTCTAGAAGCCACTTTTTACAATATTAAATTACAATAACTCCACCCGTGTTTCTAAATTTGAATATCTATAGAAATATAATGTGATGAAAAAAACACCTATTTGAGAAAGTACAATAATTATAATATACGTAAAGACTTGTACGTTAGGAATTTTTGTTGACGATCTATCTTCCGTAGTCGGTTTGTCGTCTGTCTGTCTATCTGTTATCTGTTGTGAATTTCTAAAAATCTTATCTTAGTGTGACTAAAAATATTTATATAAAGGACTGTTTAAATCTCATTAATCTAGGTCCAGCGGTTTTGGCTTTGCGTTATGAGTAAATCAGCCAATCACATCACGCACGGGTGTATTGTATTAAGTAGACCCGAATCAGCATCCGAAAATAATAGTTATATATACGTAGGTACGATCTGGTAAAAATGGTTTCGAAATCGGTCAAGTGGTGGAAAAATAGAATTTTACCTCTGGAACAGGTTCAGCCGTTTCGGCTGTGCGTTGATGAGTCAGTCAGTCTGTCGGTGTACCCTTTTCTCACTTTATATACATAATAGTATATATTACGTTCTCCGATTCAGGGATGTTCTTAGTTGAGGAATTCTTCTCATGATATTCATTTACCTATAATTTACTATTAATCATTGCCACTTCAGTAATATATTTAGAAAAACACAGGTAAAATGTCTAGCAAATAAATTAAAGCAATCTTATAGTAACTCATCCATCCGGTGCTCCGTTGGCATCTGCTGTGGTCTTCATTGATTTGTAAATGGGACAGCACTATCGATATTATATGAAGAATCCTCTCGATTTTTTCAGGATCCTATCATTAGATACCGACTAGTGAATATGGTACCAACCACTTCATATCTCCTTTAATTTTTTTTTTTTACACTAACACCAATTAGCCTAGCCCCAAAGTAAGCACTATAAGGCTTGTGTTATGGGATGCTAGGGTAACGGATAGAATACATATACTGTACATATATAAGTATATTTATATAAATACATATTAAACATCCATGACTGGAGTACAAATGCTCGTATTCATCACACAAACATCTGCCCCCACCGGGATGCGAACCCTCGAGTCGGGACCTCTCGAGTCGGCGACAGCCAGGAAACCCGGCGTACAAACCACTCGGCCACGGAGGTCGTCTTACTCAAATGAATTTTCATTTAAGATACAATCGCAAAAATACACAATAATATAAATTTTCTCTAGTGACAGTTATGAAAAAATCCTCTATTTTGTATGATATCGATTATTTAAACAAAAAATATCTTAACACTTAACATTGCACGATTTCGTTGTGTAAGCCTTACTTACTTTCTAAAAAACCGTGGAAAATGACGTAGTTATTTATATGTAATTATATCGCGTGGAAGCGGAAATAAGTTTTAAGCATGGAGTAATAACACGGCAGGGTAAGCGGCCGCGTACCGTCCTGTAATCAATACAATGTTCCACTTTCAGCGACCTTCTGAGCGGTAGCAGCCCCACGCTTCACAACCATTTATCTCATCGTGCAATGAACTTTTCATTTTCAAAATTTCTAAGCAAAAATATAACTATGTGCGCGCACGTGTCGGTTGTAGATATATATTTTAACATGCATTTTATTTTTTACACTTTAGGAAATAATTAAAGCTTCTGGACTAATTTGTTGGTTTAATATCTTCATTTTGTTATATACTTACCATTTTTTTATTTGAAATTATTAGTTATTTAGTATTCAATAAATTCAAACAGTATTAATGAAATGATTTTACAAGTTTCACGATTGTTTTTCTTAGGTGATATGTGAACATATTATTAGTATAATTTATAGAAAAATTCAAATGTTTAAGAAGATTTAGGGCAAATTCTGTCATATGTAGGTTCATTGGAGAAAATTTCATAGCGGGGTGAAGTGAGGTAAGGGGAAGAGTGGAGGCGGAGGCTTGATATTGACCTACATGTTCATTCAGAGTTCGGTCGATGCGAAACTTGACATCTGCGCGTTCCTGCGATTTCTATTTTTCGATTTAATGTATATTACATTCGAACGCACTTTTATTTATTTATTACATTATTTAAACTCTGTAAACTCGTGTTCTTCCCATGTATAACACAGAAGCGGTTCCTGTGTAGATAATATGGTCAGTGGCAAACCTGCGGTTGTGTGGTGTCTGTGCGGTGTTCGAAGGCTATAGTCACAGCGGCTCAATAGCGTATCGTAATTAAAATGCTTAAACAACAGATCGCGCATAAATAAATCTTCATTTGCATGAAACAACATGGAAAAGTCCACGAAGACGCATTTTTCTGTTGTGACAAAGAGCATCTCGCCGATGGATGTAAAATTTTCCGATGTGAGTATTTAGCGTCTCTCTATACTTATTTGTGCTAATTCTGGGAATACATTTCACAAAATTGCAAGATTATTATTAGAAACTATTATTTATTATTATAAAGAGCCTATCACAGTCGGCGTTGAGGTGTGCCCATATCAGCTGATTGTCCGTCACAAGCTGATACAAACAATGTGCTCCATTAAGCTCTTCGTCCTATTAGAAAGTGTATTTCATTTTCATTGTGAAAATAGATCAAATAATATCATTTTATCAGTAGTCTTTAATAGTTATGATTTTATTAATTAGGTTTGAATCATTATTTGTGACTCGATATTTATGTATTATGCCTACTTCCTATCTCCTACTGGTAATTTTGCCAATATTTAAGTTTTTTTTTTGATAAAACGTGAAGATTTTACAGATTTAAGATGACAGTGGACAGCGTAATAAGACACTTGGACGAATAAGATGAGTCAGAATCATTTGCAAAATATCTGCCATGGAAATTATAGTTTCTAGTAATTTTATCGAAGTAGGCTTTAACAGAAATGAAATTTTGCTCATTATAACTTCTTTTGGCATATGCTTGTTATTAGTACATTATTTCAATCTTGAATTCATAATGAAACGTTATTACGAGCGTCGCGTCGCACCAAAATTTTCCGAAATGAATTTAGCAAAAAAAATAAACTGCCGAAAAAACTAAAAAGCAGAAAATATAAACCTTTTTTATCTTTAACCAAATGAGTATTTGGAGTCGGTGCCATGCCAACCCAAATAGTAAACTCAGATTTATCAGACATTCATGGCACCGACTCCAAATATTAATTTGGGCAGAGATAAAAAAGGTTTATATTTTCTGCTATTCAGATTTTTTGGCGGTATAATTCCTTTTGCTAAAAAGTTTTAAATTTATTATTTTTGTGGCTTTAATTTTTGTAATATACAACTCGGCATTGAAATCTGTGAGTGAACAATCACCCCTATTTCCCCACCCTTAGGGTAGGATTTTTGTTTCCTAATTTATCTAGTACCACCTTTGAAGTATTATAAGTACCGACTAATTAGTACAGTCAATCTGTAGGTTGAGTGGTGAAAAAAAAACCTAAAGGGTAAGTCTTGTTTTTTCTGTTGCCAAATGACGTCAGTAAGCCACCTTAGCGATGGGCATGTTCGACTCGTAGGCGTTTTTTGAAAAACTCAAAAAACTGTTAAAATTTTTTTGAAACGCATTTTTCTTGTTTTGTATGCGTTTTAGAAACTTTTTTTTCGACCATAATTGTAGAGGGCGTTGGGTACTACAATTTAAGTCATTGTTGCAATCTCGTACAACAAAAAATGCACATTGTAGGTGGCGTCCTAGTGTCCCAAAAAAAGTGTTTTTTCACTTTTTCACCCTGAAAATATCATTTTAATGGAAAACTTTAAATTGAAAAGTTGTTCCGTACATAATTACCAACAACTTTTGTATAAACAATTTTTTTGTATTACTTACCGGTTTCAAGTTATAAATTGCGCAGGTATGAAAAATCCAATAGAGCGGTTTTGGGCAGTTCAAGTACACATTTGCAGGGCACATTTCAATGTACGTTTTTACGATTTTTTTTCCAATCATGAAAAAAAATAAAAAAAACTATTTTTTTAAAATTTTTTTTCATGTTTTACTATTTTTTTTTTGTTTTTCAATCATGCAAAAAAAAATAGTATGTGATGTATTGTTTAGGAAAAGGAGGATGAGACCACAGAACCAGCAGCAGAAGACGTGGAGCCGGCGCGTGGTAACTGGACGGGCCGGTTCGACTTTCTCCTGTCACTCCTGGGCTACAGCGTGGGGCTCGGAAACGTCTGGCGATTCCCTTACTTGTGTTACAACAACGGAGGGGGTGAGTAGAGAGAACAGATAGTCTAGGAAATGAAGCATTTTGGCTCGCAATTTTTCGTCACCATGGATTTACTTGAAACTTTAACAAAAGGTAGGGAACAGCTCAAGGATCATTTTTTATATCATGCCGCTGTACGCTAGAGCCTTGGGGGTGGTTGCCACCCCATCCCGGGGTGGATTTTTTTTATTACATTTTAACTGTAGGTTTCGATGGAAAAAATAATTCTAAAAAAAAATGTAATATACGTTTTTTGAGTAAAACTTATATTTTTTGAGTTTTTCAAAGTTGAAAGTAACAGATATTTGACGAAAAAATCGACTTTTTTAAATGGTTTTTTGCAAATAATTTTCAAAATATGCATTTTATCAAAAAAAGTGTATAGAGTCAAATTGTAGCTTTTAAAAAAACAAAAACAATGCGTTTTTTATAATTTTTCTATGACAAAATATGAACTAAGATACAGCAAATTAATGCTTAGCTTTTTTCGTCAAATGCGTAAAGGAGATTGCTCAGCTTCCATACATGTTTGGCCTAAAGACCAATAATCATGAAAAATTGTTTTCTAGATTCGAAATTATATATAAATTACTGTAGAAACGAATATTATTGACAGACACCCCTGAGAACTTCTATAAACCATATACACTATACATATTAAAATAATAAAAAACAAATAAGTTAAATAAAACTAGTTTTTACGGGTTAATGCACGAAACTTTATTTATTTATTGACGTTTCGCAGCCTTTTCAGGTCTGCATCGTCAGAATAATGATTTTTTATTTAAAATTGTCGAGCTACCTTCGAAAGACTTATATTGAGCGTTCGGTTATTATTATCGGAAGATTTTTAAAATTAAAAAAAAAAAATCTTCCAATGAAATAACCGAACGCTCAATATAAGTCTTTCGAAGGTAGCTCGACAATTTTAAATAAAAAATCATTATTCTGACGATGCAGACCTGAAAAGGCTGCGAAACGTCAATAAATAAATAAAGTTTCATGCATTAACCCGTAAAAACTAGTTTTATTTAATGAGTGATGTGCGTGAAAACCTAAGAAACAAATATAACAAATAAGTTATATTGTAAACTAGGGAAATCAAGCCAAGTACCGAAATTATGGATTAGATTCAAGTATATAGAGCATGTAGATTAACAGATAGTTGCCTGTTTTTAAAGTTAATGTATAAGAGTAACTTTTAAAATCAGGTGTCATTTCCGGTTATAATAAGGTACTCTGTGACAGAAACTGTGTGATGATTGTGAATGAGCCACAGATCAAAGAAACCTAAGAGATTTAGGTTCTATAGCCATATATTCAGTAGATTCATTATTTTTGTTATGTTTTTAAGATAACCATATTTTAAATTTTTAGTGTATCACACCTTATAATTTTAATTTTTAAAGTGTTACATATAATAATAATAATAATAATCTTTTATTTTGCCAAAATAGTGTACAATATTTAAACTTACTAATTACATAGTTTTTTTTTCTTATATGGTAGGTAGTAAAAAAAATAGTAAAAAAAAATCTTAGGCATAAGAGTTTTCTGACATAGTCGCACTGAGCCCTAGCTAGATTATAAAATAATCTGTGTTAATGGCAACAGTCCCGTTCCCTCGTCGTATCCTATAAAAAGTTAATTATAAAGGCACAAACATACAATATTACATGCACACACATACTTTAAGACCAAATAATTAAAGCCGTATTTATAAATGTGTATTTTTTACCGTAAACAAAAGTTGTGGTTGAGTGGTGGAAAATTTATTAATTACTTATATATCGGGTTTTTCTTTTATATAGGTAAGTACTTTAATTATATTTTTAGGACATGGAAGTTAGTAAGGTTTCAGTTTCGTCATATGACTTTGACATAAGCCATTCTGTGATTTGTTTCTTACAACGTGAGTAGGGTAAGCAGTGGTGGGAAGTGACTTTATTAATTTTATTATAAAGATAAGGACCGAGAAAGATAAGAAAGTGTTTCGTAAATGCTACTCTTGGCCTAACAATAGGACATACATTGTAGTTTCGTCTCGCCGTAGACTTAGTTTGGGGTGTTTGGGAATGTATTTTTAAGATAGCACTTAGTATATAGATTTGACGGACATTCAAGACCTTACACTCTTTATATAAATCTCGAAATGGGTACATACGTGGCTTGAAAGCGCTCACCTTGAGTAATGCTCTTTGAGCTTTCTCGAGGGATAACATGTGTGTTTTGTATGTTCCTCCCCATGAAGTAATGCAATAACCTATCAAACATTGACACAGTGCATAGTAAATAGATTTTAATATACTAGGTGGGGCAACATGCCTCAACGTTTTAAAAATGTAAATTAATTTGCGGACTCGTGAAGAAAGGGAATCAATGTGATAATTGAAACTAAGGTTTTGATCTAGTATAACGCCGAGATATTTAATGGTCTGAGTTGGATGGATACTAGGACAGGTGGCATTACACAGATTAGGGTTAGGACAATTGTGGACAATCAAATTGGGTGGTATGGAAGGTTGCGTGTTGTTTCGAATGGAAAATGACATAAATTTTGTTTTTGATGTGTTAAGAGACAGTGAATGATTTGATAACCAGCCAGTCACAGCGTTTAATCCCATTTGAGCAAAATTTTCAGCTTCCTGCCAACTCTTGGCAGCAAAGGTAAGGACTGTATCATCGGCAAAAGAAATTGTTTGACCATGATGTAATGTACTTTGAGTTAAGTCATTGATAAATGTTAAAAATAATGTAGGACCAATTATACTGCCCTGCGGGATACCGCAGGTCACTGGGAGGTCATCACTGAGGAAATTACTCACTTTAACCTTCTGAGAGTCCTTCCCGTAAGATAGCTCTTTAAAAGTTGAAGCTGCATACCGCGTACACCCAAACCCTCTAGCTTGGACAATAACTTCGTGGTGGGAATTACGTCGAAAGCCTTAGCAACATCAAGAAATATGGAAATAACTTTTTTCCCATTATTCAAGTTAGATACGATGTTGTTAATTAGCTTTAAAACGGCGTCAGAGGTTGATAATTTCTGTCGAAAACCAAATTGATTAGATGACAGTAAGTTATTTGTTTCGAAATAGTGGGTGAGTCTTGTATTAATTAGCTTTTCCAGAACTTTAGATAAAGATGTAAGTATGGCTATGGGTCTATAATTTTCCACACATTTTCTATCACTTGCTTTGAAAATAGGGCGGACAATTGCTCTTTTAAAAGAGTCTGGAAAAACTCCTAGTTCGAAACATTTATTAAATACACATGCCAGAGGTTGGAAAAGGACGGAAGAATATCGTTTTAAAATATTTGATGAGATGTTATCCCATCCTACAGCTGTGTCTGATTTTAATGACATTATTATTGCTTGTACTTCTGTTGAGTCAGTCTCCAAAAGAACGAAAGAGTTAGGGAAATTTGTCGTGGTATTTTGTGTCTGATTTAAATAGTCGGCTCTGGGGGTGATAGTCCCTGCCAGTTTCTCACCAATAGTAGCAAAGAAATCATTCACTTTATTCACAGACAGAATGGTAGATTCACAACATTGAAGGAGATCAGTTGCTGTTTCTTTCGGTTTAGAAATATTTGTCACTTTTTTAATTGTGTCCCATACTAGTTTAGTGTTTTTAACTGCTTTTATAAACTGTTCTTTATCGTATTGGCGTTTGATTTTATTTATTATTTTGTGACAGAAGTTGCGATATCTTAAATAAGTTGTTTTGAGAACTATGTTATCAGGATTTTTTCTTAGATTGCGGTGCATTGTATACAGATTATAATGTGTTTATGGAGGTGTTTGGCGAAAAATGTACGGTAATAGATTTTTTGATGTCGCCTACCATCTATAATAATTGTCTGAGGACATTTGCATCTAGTGAAAATGATAATATAGTTGTGGATATTAATACCACAGTGTAATAAAAAAAAAATTATCGATCTTTACAAAATAGATTTGTTTTTATGTTAAATAAACAACTTCGATCAGTCTTTGGCTGAATGTTACTACACCCATAGCCATTAAAAATGATTCGTATGTTTTCCAAACCGGTAAAAATTAAAGTCCTTTTTGAAGTAAATATATTATACAAAGGTGTCCGTTGAAATCTAATGACTGTAAATAAAATTATAAATTACGCCAAGAATTACAGTGTATGTCAATATTTTTTGTGCATTTGGGCCAATTTGAGCAATCTCCCGTCCCCGCACCCGGCAGTTTCCCGGCCTCGCCGGGGCTCCACAGCAGGGGTCTCCCGCGGTATTTCGGGGACCCCGCAGACGTGCGCGGGTAGGCCCGCGCGTGGGGGCTAGGTATGCGACCTTTTTTTGAAGATTTACAGTGAAATAACGAGAAAAATTTGCATTATTCTCAAAAGCTTATAGAATCTTTTTTAATGTATTTAATTAGAGCTTTCAAACAAATAAAAAGCAATGTCTCTAGCATGAAAATTGACCGACTTATCATCAAAATAAGATCGGTACCCCCTTTAATCTACGATAGATATCTGTGAAAACAACCCCTAAAGTACCCCCTAATTAAAATTGATGACCCTTCACCCTTCTGTAATTCTCTTTATATATGTACTATTAATACACCCACGAAGTATGACCAATTTAAAATGCCAAATTTTAGAAAAAATGGAGTTTAAAGAGAAAACCGATTTTTTTCAATTTCGTGTTTTTCACCATTTTCTTAAAAATATCTCCCAAAATACTAAAGATACGTAAAAAGCGATGTAGTACTGAATTGTAGCTTTTTTAATGCCAAAAATTTCTCTGTGCGCATATTTTTTGTACAGTGAATATTCGGCGAGATATAGCCGTTCAACACCTACATTTACGATCGAACATCACCTTATTCAAACTCTCCCCATTTCAAATTAAGGGATCTTAAGTAATCTAATTCACATAGTCTTATAGCTACTGAAAAGCTCTACAAAATCGTAGCTGGAAAAAAATCTATCACCTAAAATGAAGGAGCTATGCTTAAAAAATCGATAATTCAAAGTTTTTAAGGGTATTTTTTAACAAGGGTACGTTGAAAGAATATGAAATTGTATCCTAAAGCATAAAACAATAATTTTTTAACTATTTTTACCAGGTTTTTAATTTAATTTTATATTTTTTGAAAATAAGGGGTAGTTTTCACCCCTAAAAACAAAAAGCGTACAACGGCACAAAATAGAAAAGGAAGTAGAGGGTGAAAAAAAAGCCTAATCCCAAATTTTTGTACAAATCGGAGCTGGACGAAAAAATTGCGAGGTTTTACCATTTTTTTAACTTCATTTCCTGGACTAAGAGAAAAGAAATAATAAAGTCAGTTAAAGGTCGAAGTCCTTTAGGCAGAATCCGGGACAGCTTTTCTTTAGGGCAAGGGAATTTCTGGTTTCGATTCAATTTCTATCATTAGTCTCCTAATATTTGATTATGTTTCAGACTAAACAATATCTTTAGGTAAACGAACTTCCATATATTTTTTTTACCGTGGAGAAGAACGGGTACAAACTGACTCGACAACATTAAAGACAGAACTCGTACACGAGTATGACGCACAAGTGCTCCCATATATACTTAACTGGGAATGCGCATCGCATAGCAAATATCAGCGAGTTTTCAGGAATGCATCGCAAGATCTGATTCGCATCGTGTATTCCTGCGATATTACGTCACACTTGGTGACGCCATTTTAGTTCGCTCTAAGACTTTCCTTTTATGATCTTTTTTGTAGACATGGTGATAAAAAACTCTAACAGTTCTCTAAAGGAAAATATGCTCATTGTTAAATAATAAAAAAAAAACTTATGTTCTCACACTATTGTATTTTCGAGTAAAGTAGTTTCCATCAGCGTTCATAATCGTAATAAATAGATGAACACAAACTTTTCTTTATCTCCTATATCTATTTGACTATAACAGCAGTGCAACAATCTTTGTGCGATCCATGTCTTACTAAAACTAATTACTAAAACACGTCCAATACGGCTAACTAACGTTGAAGGTATGGTCACCTTAACCAAAGCTTTGCCGCACGTAATCGTATCGCAAGTTCCTGCGATGCGACGTCATATCACATCGCACTTTTGTGTGGGATCCCTAATCAGACATCACTCAAACACCTTTGGTCCACCTTCTTAGCTATTTTTTAATCATCTACGAAAGAAGGAAACTTCTTTACTTTTCCTTTTTTTCATTTTCCTACTGGTTCACCAAACTTAATATGAAAACGGAATTATTTCATAACCAGTTAGAAAAAGTGAAGAACAAAATATATCCTTCGTTGTACTGAAAACTTTTTAAGAACGTGAACTACTGAAATGTAACGACCCACCTTACACGCCACCTTCGCAAAGACTTTAAACAGAGCACGACTACTGTCAACAACATATTTAATTGCTCCCCTTTGCTGTCTTGATCTTAATCAATAGCTTTGGTGGGGATATAGATTGTCGCAGTAATTTTAATTTATCAACCTTTCTTCTTTCCAGGTGCATTTCTTATTCCGTTCACTATAATGCTTATAATAGCAGGCCTACCACTCATGTTCATGGAATTATCATTTGGACAATATGCAGCGCTTGGGCCCGTTGCTGTTTACAACAAATTTTGTCCGTTATTCCGCGGACTTGGTTACGGAATGGTGATCGTTTCCAGTATCGTCATGCTATATTACAATCTTATCATAGCCTGGACTATATACTACATGGCGGTATCTTTCGCAAGCATTTTCTATCAGTTACCTTGGCAAAATTGTGTTGCTGAATGGAGCACGCAACGTGAGTATCGTGTTAATCTAATTAAACATCTTATTAGCGTAGTCGTAGTGCTACGTCGTAGCAATTACTGTGGCGAAGTGTGATTAAACAAATTATGAAATTAATGTTATACATTATCATACCTGTTGTTTGTATGAAGGTTAGTAAACGAGATTATACCCTGCCTGATGGCAAGCAACCAGAGAATGGAAGCTTGTGATACCAGATCATGTGCGTTACCTTTATCTCTCCATCTCCATTCCCTACCCCGTGGAATCCTGAAAATCTTACTCATCGACAGAAACACAATACCAACAAACGGAAGTGCTATTTTCACTGTGATCCTCTGGAAAGCGTAGGTTACTTCCTCTCCAATTCTAGCGCCAATTCCGATATGTCTTTCTGAAATAAATCTAAATTATATAAAAAAACAAATTGTTGTAATAAAAATGTAATACTATTTTTTTAGACTGTTACTCATACGAAGAAGCAGATGATTGCGAAGCAAAAAACGGGACATACTATTTGAGACAGTGCCTAAATCATACATTTGCCACTCTTCATAACATCTCTGCATTGGCCGACGTAGCATTGAGACGACCACCAGCTGAGGAATATTTCACGTTAGTTTTAGCTTATTTTGTTTCTCACAACATAGATTACAGTCTCATTATTCATATTACACTGCTTTTCCACTTAAGCTCAGAACAGTTCTGAACGAGCAAACATTAGTTCGCTCGGTAAATGGAATGTTCGATCGCCGTTGTGTTGTTTCTATTGATGATTGAGTAAGAGAGCATTCGTTCACAACGAATTCGCTCGCTCGCTCTGATGTTTCCATTTACCGATCGAGCAAATGTTTGCTCGCTCAGCGTTGTTCTGAGGACTAAGTGGAAACACTCTATACAATTAAGTCAAGATATTTCTGCGATAATTTATATTATGTGTGTTTTTCTGCAGAAATCAAGTGCTTGGATTATCTTCCGGTATTGAAGAAACAGGTCATATTCGATTGGGTATGGCGATGTGTTTATTAGCTGCTTGGTTAATTGTGTTCTTATGTTTATGCAAAGGAGTACAATCTTCTGGAAAGGTAACATTTATAAAGATTTACGATTTTATTAATCGTATTTATTAATTGAATGGTTTGATGTTAATGTCATATTGTTTTTTATAGGTCGTGTATTTCACTGCGTTGTTCCCGTACGTCGTACTTGTGATATTATTTTTTCGTGGAGTTACTTTACCAGGAGCTTCAACAGGGATTTTATTTTATCTCACACCGGATTTTAGTCAGTTAGCAAACGCTCAGGTATTTAATACATCAAGTATTTAATAGTGTTTCTTTTATTATTTTATCAGTGTTATAATCAATTTACCGACAGAAAGTGGACTGAGAGAAGCATTTATTTTTTAAACGATGTCGTTGCGGATAGAATGTTAACCAAATGCATTAGCTGACTGCATGAATAATGTAATTTAAAGAGATATACTACTTTATAAAGTAAAATCTCTCACGGCGTCTATCTGTATATTCGCGATGATCTGAAAAACTACTGAACGGATTTTCATGCGATTTTCGAGCATATCAGTTTTTATATATCTATAAGTCTGAGAACAGAAACTATAGTACACACGAAGAGAAGCATGGGCCGGTCAAATCTCTAGTATTTTTGGAACGAAGTTCCTTACGGCAGGCTTGGAGGGGATAGGGATTTGGCTGCGCGACCGAACTGAAAAAAATGTGATAGTAAAACCGTAAGAAAAAATCCGTGGAAAAAAGTGCGTGGAATAAAACCGTTAAATGAGACGTGCGCAGGCGCGACACGAAGTTCCTGACGGCAGGCTTGGAGGGGATAGGGATTTTGCTGCGCGACCGAACTGAAAAAAATGTGATAGTAAAACCGTAAGAAAAAATCCGTGGAAAAAAGTGCGTGGAATAAAACCGTTAAATGAGACGTGCACAGGCGCGATAGTCGCATACACAAGCGAGTTTGCAATTTGTGTCGATTCTACATTAGCCGAAGGAACTTCGTTCCTACCTGGTGTCCCACGACACCACATAATTTTTTTTATTGTATTCGTGGACAAGTTATTAATACATTAAGTAAATAAAATACCAGAAATATCGAATATTGCGTATGCGTCACGAGAACTTGATACAATAGTCATACAAAAAATAGGGAAATAATTTTTCAGGGAATTTAATGAATTGCTTTTCTAAGGTTTGTGTTCATTACCTACCTGTTCGGATTTATCTCTGCTTTAATACACTCGAGAGCAATGAATCCGGGTCACATAAAGAATCATAAAAATCTCGCAAACTAAGAATGCTAGCTTAAATCTAAAGAAAATATAACTAGAAAAAATTCCACGCGGACCAGGCAGCAGACGGGACTCGAACCCGCACCCTTCGCAATCCGGGCGAATGCACTGACCAATTATGCTACCGCGGCCCTCACGGACCGCGTCGAAATTCTTTCTAGCTATTCTTAAGCTTCAAGGCAGCGCCATCTCTTCGGTTCGAGTCCCGTCTGCTGCCTGGTCCGCGTGGATTTTTTTCTAGTTATATTTTCTTTAGATTTAAACATCAAGCAGTTACATGCTTTAAAAATAATAAAAATTATAACTATAATTGCTATTTCTTCTTTCAAATGTTTAATACTTGTAAAAGTATTCATTTGACATTGTGGGTTTACCTATAATGCGAAGAGATGGCGCTGCCTTGCAGCTTAAGAATAGCTAGAAAGAATTTCGACGCGGTCCGTGAGGGCCGCGGTAGCATAATTGGTCAGTGCATTCGCCCGGATTGCGAAGGGTGCGGGTTCGAGTCCCGTCTGCTGCCTGGTCCGCGTGGAATTTTTTCTAGTTATATTTTCTTTAGATTTAAACATCAAGCAGTTACATGCTTTAAAAATAATAAAAATTATAACTAATGCTAGCTTAATTAAATAAATTGTGTTAAATAGAAAATTAAATACTCCTTAAATGAAGGTAATAAAATTTGTGAGTCACCACATTTTATTTACAAAAACACACAAAAACATACAAAAAGGAAAAAACCTGGCTGATCTCGCCTTAAAATAAAAATAGGAAACATGAAATTTTTGGACAACATTACGATATTCTTAAATTTTAATACTTCGTATTGCCTCCTCGTGCTTCCATTGCTGCGTTTACCCGGTTTGGCATACTGTACACCAAGTTTCTTATACGATTTTGGGGAATATTCTTCCATTCCTCTGTGAGAGCAATTTTGAGCTTATGTCGCGTAATTGGGGGACAATTTCGTTGTTTTACGCATCGTCCTAGGTCGTCCCAAGCATGCTCGATCGGGTTGATATCCGAGCTGCGTGCTAGCCACTCCATACTACTAATGTTCATCTCTTCAAGGTAGTAGTCAAGATAGTAATCGTATTCACAATCCAACCTGTCTGTATGAGGTCGGGCATTGCCATGCATAAATAAGCATCCTCACCCAAATTCACCATAAATGGACCAACGTATTCATTCAAGATTTCTTCCACATATCTTTCGCTAGTTAAAGAGCCGTTTTCTATGAACACCAGTTCTGTGCGACTCTCAAAAGAAATTTCGACCCACACAAGTAGAGACCCACCACCGTAGGCTACTTTTTCTTCGATGCATGCTTGCTTGAATCTTTCACCAGGTCTTCTATATACTCTGTGTCTTCTATCGTGCTTGTAGAGCGTAAATTTTAATTCATCAGAGAACATACTAGTAACATTTGACCAATCATCGATAGTCCAATTTAAGTGGTTCTGGGCATATATTAGTCTTGAAATACGATGCCAACGCTCCAGTTTAGGGCTCGTTTACAGGTCTAAGTGGTTTCAAACTAGCTTTAGCAAGTCGTCGTCTTACTGCTCATGCTCTTGGGTTACTACGTCCGAGGCGTCGAAACTGATTTGCAATTTCAGTTCCTGTGAGAAAGCGATTTCGAAGCATGGTGTTCACCAAGTATCGATCTTCTTGTGCTGTGGTACACCTGGTTCTGCCTGTTTCTATTGGCGTTGGTTAGAGCCAGTTTCCACGTAACGTCGGAGAAGTCTTTGTACTTTTGACATCGACATACCGACAGTCCTGGCTGTATTGCGCTGACTCCGGCCGGTTTTCAGCATTGTGAGAATTCTGGTGCATTTTTCAGGTGTAAGCGACATGATTACAGCTTGAACAATTAATATTGAACACTATCGACATAGTTTATATGAATGATAAATGACAGATTAGAAACAAAAGCAAAAACAAATGCAGTAATTTCGTAGTTCCATCTTCGAAAGTCTCCCTTTTTCTAATTTGATTTTTTTATGATATAACTTTACAATAACCAAGAAGTTAAAATATCTTTATTTAAGGAGTAGCTAGCATTCTTAGTTTGCGAGATTTTTATGATTCTTTAAGTGACCCGGATTCATTGCTCTCGAGTGTATATGTTTGCACCTTTCTAGTCGCTTTAGTCACAGGAATAAAGTACGGATTTTACGTTTCTTTACTCATGTGCGTCAGTTCTCAATTTAGAGGCCGTACTAAAAAATTATAATCGTGCTGAAATTCACCGTTCTATTGTTTTTATTTGCGCTTAGAAATATATCTGTCATTTCAGTCAATTTTCTTTTAATGTATAAGATCCTTTTCATCATTTACATAAAGTCATATCACTGAATACATTTTGACTTCTTTATAATTACGTGGTACTTAAAGTAATAACATCGAATTCTCACAGTGAGTAATTAAAGTGTTTTAAACTGCTCCGTAGGTGTGGGGTGATGCAGCTGTTCAAATATTCTTCGCATTGAGTCCTGCATGGGGCGGCTTGATTACTCTATCCTCATATAATAAATTTTCTAATAATTGTTACATGTAAGTTTTATTTTGGAAATTATACTTAAAGGTACGTTACATACATATTTAAGTTATGGTAGTATAAAGCTTGTTTTTTTTTGTAGCGATTCCTTAATTGTTGCCGTATCTAACATAGCGACATCCTTCTTCGCGGGCTTGGTGATATTTTCTGTGATCGGATTCCTGGCTCATGAGCTGGACGTGGAAGTAGATAAGGTGGTAGACCAGGGCGCGGGGCTCGCTTTCATCGTTTACCCTGAGGTGGTGACCAGACTACCAGTGTCTCCGCTATGGTCTATACTTTTCTTTGTAATGCTGCTCACACTCGGACTTGACTCTCAGGTACCACATTGGACAGTATACCAATTTTTTATTTATTTATGAATGTACGTTAATGTAAGTTTTGTTTGCAGTTTGCACTCATGGAGACTGTAACCACGGCCATTCTCGATAGATTCCCGAATTTCAGACAAAGAAAAGTTTGGGTGGTGCTGACGGTGGCAGTGTTTGGCTATATAGGTGGTCTCATCTTTACAACTAACGTAAGTTAGGTTTTTATATTAATATACACATATAGGCAGTTATGTGTTGGTGTAACGTGTGGGATTGTAAAAAAGTTTATTTTTTCATAACTGCCGGGTCAGATTTTGATGACCCTTTGCATTTAAGTATCGAGTACCGATACGGTATTGCTTCTTGGAAAAATGTTGCCCAGTCTCTTTTATTCTTAGTTTGGTTATTAATAACTCAGAAAATAGAGTGAGTTAAAAAAAATAAGAGGACTCTCAACAAATTATTCAAATTAATTAAAAAAACATATTAAATGACTATTATTTTGGATTATTCAGTTGTTTGGAATGCAGTAGTAACTATGTTTAAAAACAACAGTAAAATATATTGCGGGATTTATATTTTCAGAGTGGAATGTATTGGCTGCAACTGATGGATAAATACGCCGCGAATTGGTCAGTGCTAATCATAGCTATTTCCGAATGCATACTCATCGCATGGATTTACGGAGCTGAGAAGTTTTGCCGCGATATACAATGCATGATCGGTCGCCAGACGAAGTTATGGGTCATATTTTGGAGTGCAATGTGGAGAGTGATTACTCCTGCTGCTCTTGTGGTATGTTGATATTTCTTTTAGGTGGTCTAAAATCTGTTGATAGCTATCTAGTAATAACTCACAACCTTAAGCCGAAGGCTTGCACTCTGAACGTCGCTCGTTCACTGTACGGTCGTCGACAAAGAGAACCTCAATGGCTACCAGCTTTCCTCGCTGCCGCCTCAGCCTTCGAATGATGTAGGTTAATGTTCTCCTGCGGACTTCCTCTATTTAAAAGCTTTTATTTAACTTGCAATGTGTGTATGTATGTATGTTTGTTAGGGTGGAATCTTGAAATTCAATTTTAAAGCAGATGTCTTTATTCTATTGAGCTGATTTTTTACACACGTGTAGTTTGGGTGACAATGCATAGTGAGCTGTGTGACGTCATTCTAAATCCAATATGGCGGAACGTACAAGATGGCTGACTATTGTCTGTTCCAAACGAATTTATACCGAAGGTAAACAAACACTTTTCCTCTCAATTCCCACGTAAGGATCAATGGATTTCTCAACACATTTATTTGCATTCCTAGTAGTTTGACATATTAATTCACTATCTTTTATAGCACTAATTTCTTTATTAATTTATAAAAAATCATAAATAAAAACTCGAATCAAAAAAAAAGGTTCTTTTGGCAGACGGGAATTGTTTGTTGTCTATGGTAGCATAGAGTTGCACCGAAAAGTCTATTCAAAATAATTTCAATGGACGTTAATATTTGAATAGTGAATCGATTAAATAAATGGTTATAGGCTAAAAAACCATCTCATTTTTATCAGTAATCCAACACATGCAAAATTTATTTGTTTGATATTATGTTTTTAGGTTATTTTTTTATATAATAATACATACAATTGTATAATAAACGTAAAAGTTGACTACAGTTGAACGAAGTCACTAAACCGAATGCAGAACGTTCAACAGGATAATGCTGCGAGCTCGCTAACCGACAAACCTAGATATTTAATAAATCACGCAAACCAATTGTTTAATAAATAAAGGCGAGTTAAAAAGAGTTTTATTCAGTAACGAAATATAGTTAACTATATTGTCAAATACAGTTAACTGCCAGAGCTCGTTTTTAAGTAATGACGATAAAAATTATTAATGTTACAAATTAATAGCATTATATATTTTGAAAACATGGAATTTTTGAAGTTCTCAATTATGTATATCGATAGCTAAAAATTAAAAAATAAAGTAAATAAACTTTTTAAAAAACAAGCTTTTATTTAAATGCTCTAAAAAGAATAATATATTTTTTTTTTAAACTTTTAGTACGAGCTTATAACGTCATTTCATAATTTATATACTTAATATAAAAGCTTGTCGACAGATTTAAGTAGGGGCACTAAATAACTACCAAGTTATAATATTTTTTTTTTAATTAAAATCCGCTCTATTTTATTTTTTACTAAAGATCCCTCTTTAGTAATCACGTGATAAGCTTTTATATTATTGTATAAATTGTGTAATGACGTTATAAGTTCATAGTAAAAGTTTGAAAATAATTTTTTTTTAGAGCATTTAAATAAAAACATGTTTTTAAAAAATCTTTTTTACTTTTTACTTTTGATTCTCTACGTTACAACGTAGATTGAATGAACACGTCTGTATAAACAGAAAATCTAATTCTGAAAAAAGGGTAAGTACTTAAATTACCACTGGGTTGCTTTTGTGGACCCAACAAACGCGGAATGTAGCTGTGAGTGTTACTTCCTATCAATTAATGTCTTTCCTTCTAAAACTCAGTGATTAGTTTTTCTATGATTCCCACTGGTAAGGCAAATGTCTGCAAATCTTTCGCCATTTCAGTTTATCCTGGTGTTCAACTGGATCGAGTACAAGCCAGCATCGTATGGGCACTACGTGTACCCTATGTGGGCGGACGCGGTCGGGTGGACGCTCGGAGTGTTGCCCGTGGTGGTGGTGGTGCTCATGGCCGTCGACCAGATCTGCAGCGGACCGGACGATCTTACCATCATGGAGGTAACTAGGCATTCAAAGTACTTATACAAAATGCATGTGATGATCTGAGTGTGCGATGTTAAGACTGCGTTCGTTTATTTTGTGAACGTACTTCATGTATATTTGTGCCTGAATCTCACACATATTACCCATCTTATGGGGTGGAGTCATAGTCAGTATTATTACAAAAAGTCGAAAACATTTTTATAGAAAATGTTAGATTTCTACATCTAAGAAAATACCAAAAAAAATCTTCTTTTCTCAAGTTCTATTCTGGATGCGGATTAGAACCATCTTCTCTATGCAAAGTTTTATGCGTATGAACCAATTTTCAAAACATTTTTTCCAGTGCTCCTTTCGTGGAAGAGGTGTCTGCACCTCTTCCACGGCCTTCTCAAACGCTGATAGCGCTTCTTCCGGCGATGAAAACTGTAGCCCTTTGAGCTGATTTTATATTTTAGGGAATAAAAAGAAGTCACACGGAGCCAAATCAGGACTGTAAGGAAGGTGTCCCAAGACTGACTGGTGTGGAGTCCAGGAAGTCCTTCGTTTTGATCGCAGAGTCCGCGGGTGCGTTGTCGTGGTGAAGAAGGACCCCGCGGAGCGCGGCGTTAGGTCGCTTGTTGCTCATTACAGAAAAAACTTCTGGCAGGCATTTTGTTCTATAACATTCGGCGTTGATGCTGCTTTGGTCTCGAAGTGGAATTGAAATTTTATTAATTTTCCCTGTGCTCCTCGATCGCCTGTAAAATCTTGTGAACACTTCCTAAACTAATTGGCAGAGTATGCTGAATCTCTTCGTACATAATTCGTCTGTTTTCTTGAATAATTTTTTTTACTGCCAGCACACTTTCTTAGGTGACAGCCGTCGTAGGACGACCACTCCTTTGTTCATGCTCCAAAGTAAGACGACAGCGTTTGAACTCGCTACACCAACGGTAGATGGTTGCTTTTGAAGGTCCTTCATCCATAAAAGCAGTTCGAAAACGATCAAATGACTCATCAGGATTTAAGCCACATTTAAAATCGAAAAAATCATAGCACGAAAATATTCTCGATGCAGATCCATGTTTTAATGAGACAAGAAAAATTTAATTGGCTCTCGAAAAAATGCAGAGGGAAATTTGAAAATCGAACAGTGGTATTTTTCTTTTAAATAATCGAAGTTTTCAAAATAATTACAAGTGGCCAGTGTCTTATACATACAATTTTTTTTTGCAAAACTTTCTGAGTGTTCTGGTATGTATGTAGTTTCATTAGTTTGCAACATTTCTTTGTACCTTATTCGAGTTATTGGTACACAAAAAAATATTTATTAGGCGTTTTAACTGTCGTGCTTAGGGATAACATAATATTTGTAGGTATATTTTTTAGCCTCAGCCATTATTATAATAAACAAAACACGGCACGTGCGGCGCAAATAACAGCACGCCACTTAATTTATACATTCTTTAAACGCGCCACGTCTTCGACTAGGTGAAGTGGCGTCACACGCTAGCCTGCCGCATGAAACGAAATTATTGTAGAGATATTTTGTTGTAGATATATTAAAAAAATGGTAACTTCTTCATTGGGTTGGGATATGATCTCGAGCTATGTTGCAAAAAAACATTTTTTTTCATCAACGGTTCAATGAGTGTTTTAGGAATAATTGAGTGGTCTGTTCTTCGAAAGGAACCAGACGAAACCATATGCTGTTAAAAATATTTCTAGTGTAGGAGTCAGAATCAAACCTTTAAACACAGAAATCTGATGCAATTTGAGAACAGCGTGTAATATAACCAAATATTGCCATTGCCAATGCCAATGGGTTCTTACGGTACACTACATTAGTAATAAATGAGTACATACTACTTTGTTGTAGCTAGTAGTTTTTTAACTTCACACATATTCGCAAAAGTTGAGGCACTTGTAGCCTTGACCCTGAAAGTATCCATATTCGGTCTCGCTATCCATATTTCCATCTAATATTATTAATCCGAAAGCTAATATTTGTCTGTCTGTTACTTACCTCTTCGATTTAGATAAAATTTGATATATATGTAAATAATTTTTTTGTAAATGTATAAGCATGTAACTGCTTGATGTTTAAAACTTAAGAAAATCTTTATATATATAATTCTTCTGTGAGTGTGTATGTCACTGAACTTCTCTTAAACAACTGGACCGATTTTGATGAAATTTTTTGTGTGTGTTCAAGGGGATCTGAGAATGGTTTAGATTCACAATTTTGTCCGCTGGACAATGTTTTTTTAATTAATTTTTTTTATGGCGGTACGAAGTTCGCTGGGTCAGCTAGTATAACTAGAAAAAATCTACGCGGACCAGGCAGCAGACGGGACAGGAACCCGTACCCTTCGCTATCCGGGCGAATGCACTGACCAATTATGCAACCGCGGCCCCGATGGCCGCGTTGATATTCTTCTAGCCATTCTTAAGCTGCAAGGCAACGCCATCTCCGCATTGTAGGTAACCCACAATGTCAAATGAATACTTTTACAAGTATTAGACATTTGAAAAAAAAATAGCAATTATAGTTATATATATTTTTTTAATAATTGGTCAGTGCAATCGCCCGGATAGCGAAGGGTGCGGGAACGACTCCCGTCTGCTGCCTGGTCCGGGTGGAATTTTTTCTAGTTATATTTTCTTTATAATATGTAGATACTTTGAGTCCCAGGAAAGGATATGTCCTTTTGTTTAGCTAGGATTATTATTATAAAACAGTAAATAGTCTTGTCATTTCATTGAGGCAGTTAATATCGCGGGGATTATAAAGTAGCTTGCGGTGGTCTAAACGACCGATAATTAACACACACACACTAGCACACTAGTGGATGCCCGTGAGTTCTTCTGCGTCGAAAAATTTGTTTTCTGTACACACTTTCACCCCCCTTTTCACCCCCTTTAAGGATGATTTCTAGAATAAAAAGTATCCGTTCTGTTAAGTACGGAACAAAGCTATTTTTACAGTCGGAACCCATTCTAGAATACCAATACTTAATGGGTCTCGACTGTTAAATAGCTTTGTTTCTTACTTAACAGAATTATAGAATAAGTACTGAACTTGTTCTTTTCTTTTCAGTTTTTATTAAGAGTACTTTATTTTTAAACAGTCAGGTATTTTTATTTTTTTAAATTTATCTTTTTTTAGACAGCAATAGCGGAAGCGATTGGTACTGATTCGAATTCAGTTTAAAAAATACAAGTAATACATTTTTTTCGAATAAAAACATGAAAAAAATTATTCCATTAAAAATTCATTGACGGTATAATTTTCTGCTATACAGAAAGCACGAGTCCTAGCTCGCCCAACCGAGGAGTGGGGTCCGTCAGCGTCGGCGGGCGTGTGCTCGAGCGTGCTGCGCACCGAGCCGGAACTTTCTCCGCCCGTGCTGTTGCTGCACGGCCGGCCGGTGCTGCGCGAGCGCGGCGCATGACCCCCGCATACGCACCCGCTCATAGCAATGCGGAAGGTTAGTATAGCACGAAAGAACCGACTTCATACACACAAAAGTACTAGTCATGCATAGGAGTGGTCCGTCAGCGTCGGCGGACGTGTGCTCGAGCGTGCTGCGTATCGAGTCGGAACTTTCTCCGCCCGTGTTGCTGCTGCACGGCCAGCTGGTGCTGCGCGAATGCTGCCCATGACCCCCGCACACACACCCGCTCATAGCCATGCGGAAGGTTAGAACCGACTTCATACACAAAAAAGCACTAGTCCTACGGAGGAGTGGAGTCCGTCATCGCCGGCGGGCGCGTGCTACACACCGAGCCGGAGTTGTCGGCGCCGCCCGTGCTGCACGGCCGGCCGGTGCAACAACGCTACAAGTAAGCATTTTAAAGATTGTGTTATGGTTACTAGGGTATATTTTTGTGCAAATAGGTATATACAACAGTCATGACTTAAGTGCAAAATTCTAATGGCCGTTTTTATTATACATACATTTGCCCCACTGTGATTTTTGAGTCTCTGAGACGGCGACACCTTGAAAACCAGACTACATTTCACTCCATTGGAGTCGGAGAAACGGTTTTTTTTTTACATTAGATAGGCTTACGCTCGACGGCCACGCGCCTGATGAAGAGCGACGTAGCAGCCTAAGGTGGGAGGCGCATGCCTAGAAGAAACCGATTCACTCGCGACTTGAAGAGCCCCAGATTATAGGTGACTGGAAACAGAGATTTCAGCAAAGAGTTCCACAACCTAGCTGTTCTGACGATATAGGTGGAAGCAAACGGTTTAGTACGAGTTTGCGGGACCTCTACGGTATATCTGTGGCGTTTTGCCGTCTCTCTGGTAGTTCTGTGGTAAAAAGTGAAGGTGTAATTAAACCTAATTAAGCACGTCCACGTATTAATGTAAGTCCAAAGCACACTCTCCGAAATGTAACCGGTAAAAAACCTATAAAGAGGCAACTGTTTGCCTGTGTTCAAGACTTTGGAGTCTAGTCTCGAATAATTTATCGTTGCCGATGAGCTTCTTTGCACGCCTCTCAATGCACTCCAGATACTCCAGCTGATATTTTGCAGAACCATCCCAAAGGTGCGAACAGTACTCCATGCACGAGTGAACTTGCGCTTGGTATAAGGTGAGCAGCTGTTCCGGTGTAAAGTACTTCCGCACCTTTACGAGGACGCCAAGCCTTTTTGCAGCCAGTTGAGCTCTGGACTCAATGTAAGTACAGAAGTTGAGAGTTATTACTAGAAGCTCGAACTGTTCGGTTACCGGCACGGTTACACCTCGGAAAGAAGAAGCCAGTTGAAACGCCCTCTTTTTAGCGGAGAACAGACACGCCTGAGTCTTAGAAGCATTAAACTTAACCAGATTGGCATCGCCCCAATCGGAGACTGCCTGAAGGGACAAGTTTAAGCGGTTGACCATGGCTTCTCGGAGTGATTGAACCTCGGCTGCACTGGCACGCGCATTCGATATATGGCTCTCTACGACTGTGCTATCGTCTGCATACCCAAAGATACCGGTCCACGAAAAAGAATGCAGGTTTTTGAGTCTCTAGATGGTGGTGGACTGGCACGAGATTTGAGTGCAGTCCTCTAATGTTGGTGAGGTGCACTTGAGTTGCGTGCGTTGGACCTTTTTTCTTTTTTCATAGCGTGAGCATTTGTTCGATGGGAAAACGGAAGTAGAATGTACGATTTGGCTTCAGTACCGCTACCAGTATACACTCTCATACACCGTGCATCTTATGGGGAACTATTTCGGAGACTGCGGGGACGCCCGAGCCCCCCCGGGAGTGTCCATCGGGCTCTTTCGTCCGGTCGCCAACCGGCACGATGGCGCATCCCGGGATTTTTCGCGAGCCTTTCATGAGTGGCTAACCCATTACTTGGGCCCCCTACTAACTGCGGTCGGCCGGCGGTGCACCGTGCCTCGGACCCCGCTACCCTCCGAGACTAGTTACCCGATGCAACAAAAATACGTACGTCTAAAAATCGGCACTGCAGTACTGGAGCGACCATTCCGACCCGATCTTCCTAAACGGCGTCACCGGACTACGCACCGGAACACAGCTAGGCTGCTTGGCGGCTCGACTCAGTCCGGTGGGTGGTCACTAACCTCAGCTAT